AAATTAAAACCACACTGAGATATCACTCCACACCTATGAAAATGGCTTAAATAAAAAATAGTGACACTACCAAGTGTGACCAGGATGTGGAGAAACTGGATCTCTCCTCCGTTGCTGGTGGGAATGTAGGATGGTGCAGCCACTCTGGCGTAAAGTTTGGCTGTATTTTATAAAGCTAAATACATACTTGCCATATGGCCCAGTAATCACATTCTTAGGCATTTGTCCCAGAGAAATGAAAATGTATGACCACACTAAAACCTCTGTAAGAATGTCAGGGCAGTTTTATTTGTAATAACCAAAACCTGCAGACACCCCCAATACCCTTCTGCAGATAAAAGGTTAAACAAACTGGTCCACCTGTAAACAAACACCCATTCCATGGAAAGCTGTGCAGCACCAACACCGAATGAACTGTTGATACTCGCTGCCACTGGATGACCTTGGGGGCACTGCTGAGTGCAAAAAGCTAGTCTCTAAAGGTCATGTGCTGTATGGTTCCATGTCCATCACTTTCCCAAAATGTTGGAACTATACATTAAAACAGGTTAGCCCTAACTGGTTTGGCTCAGTGGATAGAGCATCGGCCTGCGGACTGAAGGGTCCCAAGTTCAATTCCAGTCAAGGGCATGTACGTTGGTTGCGGGCACATCCCCAGTAGGGGGTGTGCAGGAGGCAGCTGATCGATGTTTTTCTCTCATTGATGTTTCTAACTCTCTATTCCTCTCCCTCCCTCTCTATAAAAATCAATAAAATATATATTAAAACAAACAGGTTAGTGGTTGCCAGGGGATAGAGTGGGTGTGTCTAAAGGGGCAGCACTAGGTCTCTCCTTGGTGGCGATGGAGCAGTATGTGGATCTGCACATGATGTCATTTGCATCGAACTACATGTGACATGTTACTGCATAGAAACTGGTGAAATCTGAATGAAGCCTGTAGTCTCACTAGCAGTATTGTTCCATTCACTTCCCTAGTTTTGATACTGTACTACAGGTTATATAGGACGTCACCACTGGGGACACAGGACTTGGTATACTTTCTTTGTAACTTCCTGTGGGTCTATAATTATTTCAAAACATGTCAGCGTTCAACCAGAGAAGCAGAAACAGTAGGAGATATGAGAGAGCGAGAGTCAGAGTCAGAGTCAGAGAGAGAAGGGGGAGGGGGGGAGAGAGAGAGAGAGAGGGAGAAATACAGCACTCCCACGAGGAATTTATCACAAGGGATTGGCTTATACATTGTGGGGGCAACTGAAGGCTGTAGGGCAGGTTGACAGAAAGGACACATCATGGTCAGCTGGCAGGAGCTGTTTGGAGTCTCCAAGACCAGGGAAGAGTTTCATCTGATCAGGCCAGGCCCATCCAACATTATGGTAAACTCTCAGTCATTCAGACCTCAATTTAATTGGATTTAACAGAAAAAATTCCCAATCTGTATGTCATATGTGAAAATTAACCATGATTTTAAAATGCTTTTAACCATGATTTGCTTATAATTAAATTAATAGCTTATTTTTGTTGTTGTTATTCACTGTTATTTTAAACAAATTTTAGCAAATGGGCCATATGTTGGAAAAAACGCTGCCACTGGATTTCACCAGCATAAATAAATATTACATACGTACAAGTATAGCCTACATATTTAAGTCCAAGAGACTGCTTGTAAACAATGTTCCATAAATGATTAGCATGTGATCACACTGCATTGTGGGCGGTAGTTGGTTCTGTTATAACTTGGCATGACTTTCTGCAGCAGTTTTAACATGTGCTGGCCGATGTTCCCACCTCCGCTGAGCCACACCCCAGCTGTGTACATTTGTTTACTCACAGTGACTGGTGAATGCATGTATTTACTAGGCCTATTCAGTATAAATTTAAAGTTATTGTAATATATATAGAAAACTTCTATGAAATTAAGCTTTTCATACATACTTAGTTTTAATTACACGAACATGTCTACATAAGTTAAAACAGGTAAGCTAGCTAATTTGTCAGTTTTTTAACAAATATTCAAAAAACCTACTTTATTATATAATGGATTTTGGCTTTAAGGGATATCCCCTCATCCAAATTAATCCGTTATATCGAGGTTTTTACTGTATCTTTCTTTTGGTTAACTTCAACCAATTAGGACTTTAATCACATCTGCAAAATTCCCTCCAAGCAGCACCCAGATTAGTGTCTGATTGATTGACTGGGACTGTAGTTCAGCCTAGTCAAGAAACCTAATAGTGTGACAATTTTTCAGTATCTACCCTTAGATAACTATTTCATTCTTCTTAATGTGATACGGATGTTTCATAATTTTTGAAAAATGAAATATTCTTTGGTACATTTTGAGGTTGACATAAGTTACATTAGTTAAGAGTTGGTAATTTCTGGCATATTGTAATACTGATATTTAAAAACAAAACTGACTCATTGCTCTTTAAATACTTTAATCTAAAACCATCATCCATTTAAAAAATCCTGTGACTAGGCTTCTGACAGCCAAATTTTACCTTGTTTCTTTGCTTTTTGAACTTTCATTCCCATTTCTTTTCCAAAGTTTTGTCCTATCTGACAGGCTGTCACACTCCTCAGTAACAGAAATATGGACAGAAATTGAAGCTAAATATTTATTTCCTGTAACTGTAAGGCCCCAGGGTTAAAGACATTTATTAAAATTATTAGTATACAGGTGAACAAAACAACATAAATATGTTACTTTTGTTTATAATGAATTCTTAATAACCCTATATTGTGAATGTATCCTTGTGATGGTGAGGATTTAGTTTTAGTTAATTCCTGAATCCATGACTTATTGCTTAAAATGAGACAGGGTTCATTCAGCATTACTTTTATTTCTCTTTTTAGTTTTTATAGTTTTAAGTTCTGAGAAATGTTGTTCCCATAAATAAATCTGTGGGAGAGGAAAGAGTTCCTCAGGTCTTCAAGTTACATGCCAAAAATTGTTGTGGTCTATCATCAAAAATTATTTTTGATGATCTGTGAGCTGGATATTTTAACTAGGTCTTGTTAGTTTTGTTGGAAGCAAAGAGCTATGGAACAACAGCTCACCGCAGGGTTTTCCAGTCGGTCATTGGAGGTGTTGCCACGTTTCAGACTGGCCCTGTGTTTGTACCTCAGGTGTTCATTTCCTAGATGGACAGTGCACCCGAGTATAATTAGAGTGAATATAATTAGAATAAGAAGTAATTTTTTAAAAAAAGTAAAACAAATTGACCAGAGATGCTTTCTCAAGGAGAATAATTTTTAGGAAATAGTACTTTCTGGAAGGCAAGGATCTTGCAGTTGAGATGCTGGGAACTGGCCCACACCAAGGAACCTCCTGAAAGTCTTCAAGTGCCTCCTGGTTTACGTTTATTCCAGCCTGAAGCTGGTTGCCTCAGAACATTGTTTCCTTGATCTTAAGAGTCTTTAGGGGGAAAAGGTAAATTTAGTTAAAACAGCTTTGCCGATGATGGGCATAAATGAATTTTAATCAATGTGGAACCTCTCCCCATTAGGGAACTTGTCTACTTAGTAGAACTTACTTAATTGCTCATGGAATGAGAGAGAACAAGAATGAGTGTGTGAGGGGGGCCCTTGGGGATGCTAGTGTTCCGTGGAATACTCTTTGGGAAATATCAAATGTATGCAAGCCTTTTTGTCTGTACAGTGGTCAGCTCGAGGGCCACATGTGGCTCTTTGGCCCCTTGAGTGTGGCTCTTCCTAAGCCTTAGGAGTACCCTAATTAAGTTAATAACAATGTACCTACCTATATAGTGTAAGTTTAAAGAATTTGGCTCTCAAAAGAAATTCCAGTCGTTGTACTGTTGATATTTGGCTCTGTTGACTAAATGAGTTTGCCGACCACTGGTATAGGAGAAGCGTGAATTCGTCAGCCTTGGTACATGGCCAAGTCAAAGGGCACCCAGGTAACTTGCAACATCCTCAGGGTTTGGTGGTGATTAGCTGTCACCAAAGAACAAGTAGAATAATAAAAAACAACACACCTTTGAGTGACGTGCTATGGATCATGCTCTTTTTTTGAAGCAGAATCTTTTGTGCCCTGATTTGGGGAGAGGGCTGAACAGCCTTGTAGCCGTGACAGGAGGCTAGGTTTTCACGTGTGCTGTTGGCTAAATGGATCTTACGTAAAGGCACTGTTTCCCGAGTTGTGTTTTGGAGAATGAGGTCTAAGAATGACATGCTTTTCAAGTAATACTGCCATGTGTTTCAAGTGCTCATTGTGGCACTCTGACCCCTACAATGGGAGAAGACTCTAAAATTTCCTGGAGCCATAACTGCCGAGGGCTAGAAGATTAATGACTGAAGTCTCAATGAGTGTGCCCTTTGAGATAGGCTCTTGGCTACTGGTGAACACACAGTGCTACCTCTAGGAAGATGCCCAGTGAGAGCTCAGTTCTTTCCTGTGATAATTTTCCTTGAAAACAAAACCCTGAGGTCCTTGGTTCCTGGTTCCTGCATTCTCCCAGTGGAACCTAGAGGTGGTCAATGCCATGTGGCCCACCCGCAGTCCCTCTATTGTGTTGGTCCTTTCTTTCCAGAGCAGCACTAACATTTTGGGATGGTATTAATAAGTGTAGCATTTATAACTGTCATGTAGGAATCCATTGGGATGGAATGAGTAAAAGCATGTTTTTCAGGAAACATGATACTTTAGAAACCTTGTTAATTGTGCATAATTTATGACATCTCAATCTATTCTGTATAAAGGTTTAAATAGTCCTTTCCTGTATTACCCCATGTGCAAACTGAGAATACCAACAAAGAGGAAGGTTGCACTCTCTATATAAAAAATTCCCACCTTCAATTTATTCTTTGCCCAGTGTAAATTGTTTATTACTTTAAACGTGGTTTCTGCTTGGGGCCACCTCCCTTCCTTAGTGCCCATCATTGGGAGCTGACTGTATTGAATTACTCTTATGCACTCTTACAATGAATGTTGTTGTTTTAAGGTCTTCTTTTTCTTTGTGATTCTTTTGTTCCCTAGCGTCGTCCCCCAGACTACAGTAATACTCAACAGTGATCGGCAGAACGCCATTGTAGCCAAGATGGACGACCCCTTGAGCAACAGGGCACCGGATTCCCTGGAAAATATCATTAGCAAGTCAGTAGCCACAACACCATCTCCACCTTTCACTGCCACTGCCACTGCCACTGTGATGAGTCCCCTTGAGGACAAATCAGCATTTTGAACTGGGCACAGTTGGGCATTTCTGTCCTCACATGGGTTGAGCCCAAAAGGCACTGTCCACACTTCTTTGTGGTGTGGGGGGCTGTGCCATGCTTTGGACCAAGGTCCCATCAGATGAGCTGGATAAGAGCAAGAGGTTAAAAAGGACAGACAGCATTTGGGCGTTTGGGACTGTTGTGTTCAGTGTAGTGTGTGGTATCGAGACATGATGCTGTGTTTTCACAATAGTCAGTCAAGCCCTTATCCTCTTACCTGCTCATGGCTTACTCACATCAGTCTGTCTGTACAGTAGCATGTCAAGTCAACAGTTATTCTCATGTAAATTTGCTAAGTGAAAATTTGCTAAGTGGTGGAGATATTTCAAGGTAATGGCTTTTTTCTCAACCTTTTTCTTTTGAGACATTTTAAACGTAACCTTTTTCGGAGATGGGAGTGTATAAAAGGCATTCTTGCCACCCTTATGTGATGATGAAGTGAGTTCCAGGTGGCCTTGTCTAGTGGTCAGGACTCAGCTTTTCCTGATAACATTCCTCCAAGAGGGCTCTTTGCTTTTTGTTTCTTACCTGTGTCTTCACAACGTTCTGTTTTGCCTGTTCTCTCAGTCTCCTCTGCAGATTGTTCCTCCTCCATCAGCTGTGTCCTATTTTCTTTGTTGTCATAGCCTGGGTGTCTGAGGGCCTGCGTGCTGGGGTGTAGGGAGACAAGGTGAAGTCTGGGTGTCTAGGTGCTCAGAGGTGGAGGAGGTCTGGTCGGTGGAGAAGAGACGGGGGCAGGTGTGCCTCTCGATGGCTCGGGTGAAGGTCAGCCTTCAGAGTCTGAGCCTTTAGGAGCCAAGTCAGCCTGGACAGGCCTCTGTGGAATCAAGAAAGTATACCTCCCTTCTCTGGGTAGAGCTAGGATTTGAAACATGTTTTAATGTGTAAACAGGGAAATTGTGCTTCTCTTTCCTTCTCAGTGCTTAGCAGTCCACGTTGAAGGGCCGTTGAAAGGGTCTTTAAAAAGGCAAGTAGCAAGTCTCCAGATAATATTTTTTATTTTTTGAGTACTTTTTGAGCTGGGCTGTGTCCTGTTTTTCTGACAATATCTCATTGCTTCGTATAGGACCCCTGATGGTGGTGAGAATATTTCATTGGAGATACTTGACTGGCTTTTTAAATCTACTTTAGTGGTTTTTGTCAGTGGAAATCATTGGGAGTGATAACTGCATTTTCAAAGGCTGAGTCATTTCTAGAATGTCTAACAGTATGGAGTGGATTAGATCAATGGAAGTCTCTAGCCATACTTCCTCCTAATTTACTAGTAGTTTTTCCTTTGACATTGCTTAAAAGTTACTTTATGTGAATGTCAACATTTTATAGGAATACCTCTGTAATCCAAAAACAGCATTTAGGCCTTGAGTCACAGAAAGCTGTGATTTTACTTCATGATATAAACACTTTTTAAAATTTTTAAAATGTTACATAGTTTCTTCCAACCTCAAACTATTTACTGGTATCAAATTGCTATTAATCTTAGTAGAGGAGGTGCATGGGAAGACTTGTGCCCACTGCTCCGTGTGAAGTTAGCCTCGGACAAGGGAAGGAAAGAGGAACACACAGCGACTCATTGCTAGTCTCTGCCTGTCGGTGGTGCTGCTCTCACAACACTGGTGGTGTTTTTGTTTCCCGCTCAGCGCGGTTCCCGGGCGTCGGCAGAACACCATTGTGGTGAAGGTACCCGGGCAAGAAGACAGCCACAATGAGGATGGGGAGAGTGGGTCCGAGGCCAGTGACTCCGTTTCCACCTGTGGACAGTCGGGAAGTCAGAACATCGGAAACAACGTCACCCTCATCACCCTGAACTCAGAAGGTGCGCCCACAAAGCCTTCCTTTCCTTTGCCTGAATAGCGTTAGGTATCCCCCACCCCCTTTTAGAAAATTAATATATGTTTATTGTTTTTGAAAAGTGATAAAATAGAAAAATGATGAAGGAAGTGTAAATAACCTGGTAAATTCCACGTTCAGAGAGATCTATAAATTTCCTGGGCATTTTCTGTATTAACATGCACACTAATTTATGATTTTATAACTTGCTTTTTTCCTTTGCATAGTAGAAATCTTTCTACATTAATACACAC